ATAATTATGTCGTCATTATTGTCATCATCATATCATTATTATCATTAGTTATATATATATTAGTTGAACATGTTATATTACGTGCAAGTGACAATATACTTGGGTAGAAAATTGTATGACGATAAGCCAAGGCTCTCGAGACGACGGCTGGATTCACAAACGTAATACCATAGGATGTCTGCGTAAAAAGCTGAATCGTTCAAAGTTGAGCTCAGACGAAATTTGTTCACAGTGAGTAGTTATTTGACGATATTGCAGTAACCTATTATATCTGTAAGTTGTGTTTACTATTATTTATATTTTAGCAAACCCATTGCGTTGTATGCACTTAATTAAGATTGAACTACTGTATTATTATTTATGACAAGGAGGTGAGTCGAAAAAACGCGTATTTCATTCAGTCTTCGAAGCCCTATCTTATAATTTCTAGAGGAATGTGACAACAGTAGGCTAGTGGGTATGGCAGGGGTTCGACGAAGACCGCCCCTAGATCTTTTTTCATGGACCAGGAATAAAATGCCTGATGAAGATCGTGAGAAGATGGGTTATGACCCAAGTTGAACTTTAGACAATTTTGGCAATTTTTTAATCCGACGACCTTATTCTGTCGACGAAGGATATAATTTTTTATATAACTAGGCCTTCCTGTACCAGTGCTAAATCTTGAGTTATACATTTTCAATACCGTGGTTTTCTTAAGTTTCAACCGTTATAGAGCTGGAGTTTTTGATATACGACTAATGATCATTAGGAAAAAATGCTGTTCAAAAAAGTTGGAAATTACATCTACCTGTCTATATATGGCGTTTTTGTTATGTGATTTTTAAAGGAGAGGCTGAGAATACAAAACTTAGCCTCATGTTCTCTTTAGCAAGTCTACTTTTTATAACTTGATTTACACACTTTATGTTTATATTAATTAGTGAAAATATTTGCTGTTGCAAGACGTACCTTATTAAAGTGAACCTGAATTATTATTTTTAATGGAGAGAAAAAAATAACAAAGTATGTTATTTCAAATACTGGCTTGTATTTATATTTTAAAATAAAGGGTGCGTTAGCTCAATCGGTCAACCAAGTAACCCCCATTCAGAGAGGAGGTAGCTTTTTTTTTCCATAAATCGGTTTATGAGTGTAGTAATTACTGTTCCTGATGATAACATAATTTATAAACTAATATAATTAATATTGAATCCCAACACGATGGCCTGCATAATTTCAATACTGTTTGTTTTATATTTTCTTATCTGAGATTGATCACTGGACCTTTCGGTAATATCTGTTCCTTTCTATAAAACAACTCAAAGAATTTATAAAGAATATTATCTTACTGATTCTTATCAATAATTGTTTTAACATGTAGAAGTGTGCGTTGAAATCGTCCCACTAAATTACATACAGTAGACACTCTACAGGTAGGGGACTGAATGAATCAACGACTGATGATTGTGTGAGAACAAAGCTGTGTGTTTACCAAGTACTCTAGGCTTACAGGTATTTTGTTGCAATTCAATTGACATTTACGTCAAACAATAGTCACACAAGAAAGTATAATACATACTCCAAGTGTTGAAATACACGCCATCGTGATGGAATTCAATATTTCGACATTAATTATGTCATCATTTCCTGATGCTGACATAATTAATGTCGAAATATTGAATCCCAACACGATGGCGTGTATTTCAATACTTGGATTTTCTCCATGCTTGGAGTATGTATTATACTATCTTATCTGAGATTAATCAGTGGACCTTTCGGTTTAATAGTCACACAGTCAGAAGAAGTTGGCCTTGTTTGCACTGCCTCGACAAGCATTTGGTATAACCTCCCGGCTCTAACCAAGTAAATAACAAAAAATTTAAAAACAGTAATGTAAAATAACGTATGTGTTCTTTTTGAATTTAAAATGTAAATATGACAGGTAACGATACTATCTTGTTAATTTTTAGACATTAGGATAAGTTTGATCACCCAGTTGATCAAAATTGCCTTTGCGTAGGGTTTGATAATCCCCTTATCGCGTCGAAGCGAATTTAATGGCTGGTCGTTAAAGCATGGAGAAATATTTTTTTTCTCCATGGTTAAAGCGTGCGAATTGTTTGCAAAATAGGGGTATTTAGTTTGTGTGAATGTAGAGAAAGTTGTAGGTGCAAGCTCATAGTACTTTCTAATAAACAAAAAGATAATTGGTGCGAAGCAGCCAATTCATATTCTTGACAGCAATTTGACCTCTGAAAGGTCATTGTTTGTCAAAAACAGGGCCTAAGACGATTGAAAAGCGGAGTTTCCTTCTTTCGTTCTGCCAGGTAAAATCAATTACTTCAGGCGACGTTTGTATAGACTAACCTACACGTACCAACGTCCGCATGTCGCGACGCTCGAGTATTACTATTCAGCGTTTTTACTATATTTCTAGGTTTCCTATTTCTACGTTTAATCGGCCCATGTCTCAGCCACAATATTTTGAGGCCAATATTATTTACGAACCCAGTTAAACTTATTTACCAGCCTATTTCAGCGTGTTAATTATTATGTAGACTGGCATACAGGGTACACGCTCGTTTTTACTATGTTTCTACGTTGCAATGTTAATCTGTTTATTGTTTTTGTATTATTCACATCCACAAATTAAATGCCCACCTATATTATTATCATCATACACACCTTACTGTAATAATAGTCTACAATGTATACGGTAATAAAGTTTTATTAGTACTGTACTCCATTTTTGAAAATGTATCACAAATTGTTGACCCATCTAAATAGACTTTTATGTATTTTTATGTTACGCTTCTATGTTTTTAAAT